AAGCACAGGAAATCATTGAGGTAAACTAGGCATATCCTTCACGTGCATTGTTAAAAGTGAAACTTGGCAGCACATGGCAGCACGTGGCAGCACATGGCAGCACGTGGCATCACATGGCAGCACACGGCAGCACGTGGCATCACATAAGAGCTGGGGAAAGAGCAGCGACACTCACCCATCGGTGCGGCAGGTGCTTCAGAATGGACTCTCTGAACTCGCGACACTCCATCTGCTCACACACAAGCCATGGTGCGGCACAGTAGAGTGCGGTAAGCGCGTGGTATGGAGTGGTATGGTATGGAATCAGGGGTGTTCGAGGGGGGTGGGTTTAGAAGAGAGATCAAGAACATCATGCAAAAAAGTAGCCAAACGCACTCCATGTATTTGAATCCAGACACAGACAACACTTGAACGGGATGCCAGAAAAAAAAAGGCATTGCAGGGCAGGGCAAGGCAGGGCAGGGCGGGGCAGGGAAGGGAGAGGGAGGGCGGGGCAATGGGGGGAGAGGACAGGAACGGGCAGGGCGGGTGGGCACGGGGGAGGGCAGGGCAGGGCAGGGCATGACATAGCGGGGCTTACCTCGCCGAAGTGGCGCGAGGAGAGGGAGGAGGCGTCGAGCTTGTAGTTGTGCTGCGGCAACAGCTGCTGGCTCAGCGCTGACATGTCCCGATGGAAGTCCTGCTCTCAAGGGATTTGGCGGGTGGGTAGGGAAAGGGCTGTGAAAGTAGCAAATTGAACAAGTAACTTCATTAGAGGAGAAACCTAGCATACATAGTTGGAAGAGAGGCTTGGAAGAGAAAGGTGAAGGTGACCATAGGTTGGGTTGACCTCACTTGGGGGAGTGAGGCAACCATAGGTCAAGTGGGTTGGGTTGCCCACACTTTGTAGAAGTGAGGCAACCCTAGGCCCACTTGGCTTGAGATGACCTCACTTGTGGGAAGTGAGGCACCCATAAGCCAAGTGGGTTGCATTTGGGGGCTCCACCACAATTGGGTGGATTGGCACCCCAAAGTGCAAGACTACACCCAAAGTTGGGTGTAGTCCCAACCCAACTGTACACCACAATTGGTGTACAGTCACATGTGTTGGCATGCTACACAACATATATTTTAACAAGGGCGTGGGAGAAGGGAGGGGAGGGACGAGGGGGAAGGGGCGAGGCAGGGCGAAGTGGAAGAGGAGGGAGGGGAGAGTGCGAAAAACCTCTTTGAGAGGTGGGACGAGCACACTGAAAGACACAGGTGCTTGCTCAGAGCTGACGCAGCAGCGGCACGGGACAATGGAGGAGGGGCCCTTTGAGAGGGGATAGGATGGCGGAAAGCAATCCAGCATTGTGTTCACCATGAGGAGCCGTGGCAGCCATTCCAACCCTTCCGCACCATTCCCACCCGCAATTCCACCCCTCAGCACCCTGCCCAGTGCTGCACCCAAGCGATCATGCTACGCCGCACCTTGCTGTCGTGCTTCCAGCGCATGGCGCCCGTGGCCACATCAAAGGCGTAGTAGGAAAAGTGGCGTGCTGCACCCCGGTCATCGTGCTACATGATGTCATGGCACAGCATGTCGCCCATACCAACCTTCCCCACCTTGCCGTCAAGCCCTCCCCCACCTTGCTGTCATGCTTCCAGCGCATGGCGCCAGTGGCGCCATCAAAGGCGTAGTAGGAAAAGTGGCGCTCGTTCACCCCTGCCGCCCCCTCTGACACATCCTCCAGCTCCTGCTCGCACAGGAGGGAGGGGGATGCACAGCACGGGAAGAAGCACAACACAGACCCGGATAAATGTCCGTCAGGGAGTGAGCGCGCAGAAAGCGCAGGAGAAGGTGAGGAGAGGGGCTGTGACAGCACACTCAAACCGGAAATGGCAGGGCAGTGCGTGTAGGAAAGGGATGAAGAGTGCATCGGGAGCGAGAAGCACAGGGGTGGCTGGCATGGGATGGCATGGGTGGATGGACGGGTGCTCACATCCTTGTCCCCGGCTTCCTTGCGGTGCTTCTCCTCGCCCTCCTCCTCCGCTTCCTCCTCCTCCACTGGATCCTCGAATTGCTGCACACAACGGGTAGGTAGGAAACACAGACACAAAGACATGTTTGAGTACAGTACATTCATGGGTTCCCATACCCGCACGCAGTGCAACCTACTGTCGCATGGTAGAGCACCAAATCACACATGCAGAACCCAAGAGATACAGAGGACGAAACATTCCAGAATTAACCGAAAACAACCCATGCCACCAGGAAAAGGAAGCCCCAAAGCCCACAACAAACGCGTCCCAAACCAGCGCCTCACCAGAGCGCCTTACCCCAAAGCTATCCCGAACCTACTCCACACCTATTGCAAACCAGCGACCTCACCAGCGGGTCTGACTCCATGGATCCGCCGATGATCACGACGCCTCGATCCCCCCGGTGCATGGTGTGATTGGCAATCAGCACCGCCACCTCCTTGTGGCATGCGCCGTGCGGGAAGTGGTGCTGCACGCTGGTCTCCCACAACAGCTTCAGGTTGTGATCGAAGCACAGTACCGCCCACCCCCACACGCCCACACACCCAGCAGCGCAAACCCTAAAGCCCAGTCAAAGCCCACTCCATACCTTATCCGAACCTGCCCCGAACCTACTCCGAAGCTACCCCGAACCAGAGCCCTCACCAGCGGGTCTGACTCCATGGATCCGCCGATGATCACGACGCCTCGATCCCCCCGGTGCATGGTGTGGTTCGCAATCAGCACCGCCACCTCCTTGTGGCGTGCGCCGTGGGGGAAGTGGTGCTGCACGCTGGTCTCCCACAACAGCTTCAGGTTGTGGTCGAAGCACAGTACCGCCCATCCCGCCGTCACCACCGCCACCACCGCCTTGCGCCGCGGCACGCTCACCGCCTTGCCGCTGCCCGCCTTCTTGGGGGGCTTCAAGGACGGCGGGTCCAGATACCCCACCGCGAACGCCACCGCCTGGTGCCCCGCTGGGTTCAGCTCCACCTGATTTGAGGAGTAGGGGAAACGGCGGGTTCGTACGCTACGTTACTCACTCCTTATTCATCATTTACAGAGCACAATGATGAATGGTAACGTTGACCATAGAGGTGGGTGGTTACTACCAGTATGATATGGGCTCAGTGGGCTGGCTGGACAAAGCTGGGGTGGGGAGAGAAGCGAGCAGCAAGCAGTGAGAGGGGGGGGGAAGGAGTGCACCTGGCCGGGTTGCAGCGAGACCTCCTTGAGCACGCGCACTGGATGGTACGACTCGCCTGATGGCGGCGTGAACGGCTCGATCACCTGTGCGGACAACGCGGGACACACGGGGAGGGAGACGCAGCTGATCACCACAGAATCCTAACTTTCAATCGGTTAAGAATTTGCACAGACAAGGAGCAACACCGGGGAGACACAGAAGGACACCACAGATTCGTGAGATTTGCCACAGATTTACACGTCACTGACTTTAATGATGGCAGACAGTGGAAATGAGGAGAAAGATTTGCGGATTGTCTGTTTAATCCACCCGTACAGCCAATCGATGCCGTACCTGCAAGCGAGCGTCCCGGGTGGCGAGGATGACCTCCTTGCGGCCGTCCCCGCTGGGATCGAACACCACGAGGGGACGACCCGCAATCCACATCCCCTACAATCCACACTCCCTACAGGCAATCCACGCGTCCCCACCTGCAGGCGCGCGTCCCTGGTGGCGAGAATGACCTCCTTGCGGCCGTCGCCGTTGAGATCGAAGACGACGGGCGGCGGCACTACGTGCGCCTCGAGCTCCTGGTTGTAGTCGTCGCGGTGCACGTGGAACCACGCCTCCCTGAACGTGAAGTTGCTCTCATGCTGATTTGGTTCAATCAGGGGGACGCAGGAAAAAAGAACGCGAGGAAAAAGTCGCGAATTTGATGATGGCAGCAAAGGGAACCCACGTGCGCCTCGAGCTCCTGGTTGTAGTCGTCGCGATCCACGTGGAACCACGCCTCCCTGAACGTGAAGTTGCTCTCATGCTGCTCGGCTCAATCAGGGAAACGCGGAAAAAGGAAAAAGAGGAAATGCACACGAGTTTATGTGATAGTAGCAAAGGGAACACACGCGCTTCGAGCTCCTGGCTGTAGCCGACCCGGTGCACGTGAACCACACTCTCCTGAACGTGAAGCTGCTCTCATGCAGGGTCGTTCGAATAGGGAAGACGGAGACGCAACGTGAGATCGGTGACAGCATAATTTGATATTCGGAAGATTTGAAGGCAGTAACTTTACTCTTAAAACTGAGACACGGTATCTGAAATGCGGGAACGGATCGTTTAAATGAGAGACGGTGACGGTTGACCGTCTTCGCTCCGGGCGAGATGGTGACGGACAGTAGTAGGGTACCTGAAGACAGATGAAAACCGCGAACGCCGATATCAGGAGGATTCCTAAATCGCGCTTCCTCATCTTCGCGGACTAAAGAATTCCGATACGCAGCTGACGCTCGTCCTTAAGAACAAATACTAAGGATCTGGAAACGTCAGTTCTTCCTCACTCTCAGAATCCTACGCCACGCCAATACAGCGGAGCAATCCCTGGGCCTAAAAAATTGCGACAACCAGAGAATCCAAATCGCCAAGCAAGCCCTGCTGAATTCAATAATGAAGAGCCAAAGCAGGAGATTCCCAAGGGAACACCCAGACCAGGATCTCGAGGTACGGTTCGGTACTCTGGTGTACATCGTGGTTTGGCTCGGATTTTCGTGACGAGGCACGTGGATCCACAGCTGGATCTTGGCAAACCGAATGTCGCTATGAGTGCCACCCGCTACAGCGTTTGGTATGGGTGTGTACTGCAATTGCTTGATTTGGAAACGACACATGGCTGTACAATATCACCATTTACGAATGAAACATTAAAGAAAGCCCACATTCATTGAAAAATGGAAAATGATTGGAAACATCAACATCCTTCTGTTGGGAACATGATGAGTGCAGGTTCGCACGAATGCGCGGTGCTCGTCCACACACGCCCTCTCACTTGGACAAGAAACTATTCCACCAGTTGCTCATCGTACCCACACAGGCCCTCCTCCCTCCTCTTCTCCCAGCACTCATGCGACAAAATCGGCACCACCCGTGCCCGGTACCCCGCATAACCCAGCTCCTCTACTGCCCTCTCCGCGTCCTCCACAAAGAATACCTCGTCTGACCGTATAAGATGCTTCGGTTTCCTGCTCTCCCTCTCCCCTCTCAACTCCTCTCCCTCCCGCTTCCCACCACCCCAGCCAGACCCCCCCCACCCCTCACCCGCCCACTCCCCATACGGAGTCGAACCTTTCTTGGCAACAATCTCCCTAGGCATGGCATCAGTGTGAGGCCACACACGAAACACCACCGGCACGGCCCCCGCAGCACCCGCCCTCTGCTTCCGCACCCAATGCTGCACCTGGGGCTCCACATCCCTCTGCACGTCCTGCTGCATCACCCGTGCTTCGTGCCTGTTGTCCGCATCGCGCCTCACCTGCTGAATCGTGGACCTGAGTGCGTGCACGTGCTCGAGATCTCCTGCTTCCTCCTCAGTCACGTCTATACGCACGAACTGGGCTGTGATGGTGGGCACAGCGGCTTGCACAATTAGCTGGAGTCGGTTGAGGGACGGGGGTGCCAGGGGGAGGGTGTGTCCGGGGGAGGTGTCATCTTGTGCTTCTGCGTCTGATTCTGCTCCTGCTGCTGCTGAAGATGACAATGATTCCTGTCCGGTTGCCCCATCTGCCGACCCCTCTCCTTTGCTGCTGCTGCTGCTGCTGCTGCTGCTATCACCACTCCCAGCAGCAGCAGGTTGCGTATCCTCAAACTCCACATCAACAGTACACCACGCCAGCACCGTCGCACCCTTGCTCAGGCTCGACCCGTACCTGGCAAACACGTCCGGGAACACCACAGCCTCAAGCTGCCCCGTGCCATCGTCCAACTGCAGATTCGCCATCTGCTTGTTACTATTCTTAGTCATGCGCACATTCACCGCCTCTACCATCGCCACCACCGCAACCGACGGCCCGTCCTTCCCACCCTTACCCCTCCCACCACCGGCCTTCCCTCTCCTCCCGCCACCTCTCGCCGCAGCCGCCGCCGCCGCCGCCGCACTATCTTCTAAAGACTTCGTCAAGCCAACGTGGGCACAGGAGGCGAGGGGCGTGAGAGAGAGCAACGTGGGGAGGGAGGGGAGGAGTGCCTCCACGGGGTGTTGTGTGACGTAGAAGCCTAGCAGCGCCTTCTCCTGTGCTAGCCTCTCCACCATCTCCTCTTCTTGCAAGGGCCGTCGCAGAATGAGTGCTGCTGTGACGGATGGGGGGAGTGGGGGAGGAGGGGGGGTGATGAATGCGGGGATGGCGGTGGTGGTGGTTGAAGTGAGGGACGGGGTCGTGGCAGGAGGTGGAGAGGTGGTGAAGACTGCACCGTTGGATGCACTGCTGGGATCAACACCAGCTGCAGCTTCTGCCATGCCGGAATCAACTGGTGTCACGGAACTGTCAGCAGCGGTGGTGGCTGCTGTGGCATTACTATCATTGGAGCTGTCAAACGTTTCACTGCTGCTAGTGTCGCTGACAATGCTGTCACTGCTACTGCTGCCGTCGCTGCTGCTGCCTGCATCATTACTCCTCTCAGCAGCTTCAGCTACAAGGGGCACATCACCCAAAACCACAGCACCCTCCTGCTTGCTCCCTCTCCCCTTCCCCTGCAGCAATTTCTTCTGCTCCCTCTCGATCCTCTGCTGCTCCCTCTTCCGCTCCCTCTCCACTCTCTCCCGCTCCTTCTTCTCCTCCCTCGCCTGCCTCTCCTGCTGTCTCTGCAACTCCTTTGCAGCCTTCTCACGCTGCTTCTCCTCCCTCCTTTGCTGCATCACCAGCTCTCTCTCTCTCGCCTGGCAACAGCCTTAATCTCCGCTTTGATCCTCTCCTTCCGCCCCTTCACCAGCCCTTCTAGCAGCTCCGCCAACCCCTTCCTATCCACATACACCTCCTCTCCTCCGTCTCCTCCTCTCCCTCCCCCTCTCACCCCCTCACCCTCTCCCGCTTCCCCCAACACTCCCTCACTCCCGCCCCCTAGTCCCTCTCTTCCCCTGTCTCCCTCTCCTTCTCCCCCTTCCCCCAGAATTAGGCAATCCAGAGCGCCTGAGTGGGCAAGGGCATGTATGGTCGGCCTTTTCCACATGCCCAAGTCAATGCGGTCAACCAGGTCCTGAATACTGACAAACCTGCCGCCCGCCTCCCGCTTCCCGATGATCTCCTCCGCCGCCGCCCTGCTCACGTCCCGAATGCCCGCCAGCCCGAACCGAATCCCGCCGTCCGCAGCTGACGTGGCAGGGCCAGACAGCGACACCTGTCCAAAACCCTCCTCCCGCTCCTCCCCCCCCTCCATCCCCGTTTTAAAGCCCGAGTCTAGAATGGTAAGGCTTCAAGAATACTGAACTTGAAAGGTGTTGGGAAAGCGACGGAATGAGCAAGCGATGGTCATGTGAAGGTCACCGACATGATGGGAGAGCGTGGGAGACACTCAGAGTAAGCGTGGGCGACGGACGCGGGAAGGGAGAGCCACCTAAAAGGCGACGGGAGGGGAGGCGAATTCAAGTTCAAGAATCTTGAACTTGAAAAGTTGCCATTCTAGACTCGGGCTTTAAGAAGCTCCACTGAGAAATCATAAGCCGATGCGTTGACCGACGGCGGAAGGATATTAATGTGAGCAGTACGGCAGGAGTTGACGTAGCGGCGAAGGGTGGGGGGTTCGAGCATGGAGGTGGAGAGGAGCGCGGCCATGTAGGGCAGAGGATAGTTGGCCTTGAGGAAAGCCGTCACGTATGTGAGATACCCGTACGCTGCACTGTGGGACTTGTTGAAACAATACTGTGAAAATTTCACCATCTGTTCGAATAAATCCTCTGCCACGGCCCGCTCAACCCCTCTCTCCACAGCGCCCTCCACAAACCGCTCGTGGTGCGCCACCATCTCCTCCTGCTTCTTCTTCCCCATGGCCCGCCTCAGCATGTCCGCCTGCCCCAGGGAATACCCCGCCAGGTCGCGTGCCATGCGCATGATCTGCTCCTGGTACAGCAGCACTCCGTACGTCTCCTTTAATATGGGTTCCAGTGCAGGGGTCTGGAAGGAGACTGGTTCCCGGCCGTGTTTCCTGTTGATGTAGCGATCCACCAGACCTGCGTCAAGAGGGCTGGTGGGGGGAGCAGGGGGTGGTGCGGGTGGAGATGGAGCAAAAGGGGGTGGAGATGTCCGCCTGCCCCAGGGAGTACCCCCCGGCCGTGTTTCCTGTTGATGTAGCGATCCACCAGACCTGCGTCAAGAGGGCTGGTGGGGGTGAAGGGGGAAAAATGGGGGCAACAGAGGGGCGAAGGGGAGCGAGGTCTCGTTATTCTTGGAAGGTGCCCACCTTTTTGGGTCGACCTTTTCGGGTTTCAAAAAAAGGCCGCCACAGGGAAGTACTCACTATTCCTGAGTCGTCTCAAAAAGCCCGCCACTACTCATGGCTCTAGATACTCACCCGGGCCGATAGAGTGCGACAATGGCGAAGATGTCCGCGAGGCACGAGGGCTTGAGCGCCCGCACCACCTTCTTCATCCCAGGAGACGCCTCCAGCTGAAACACCCCGTCCACGTCGCCCCCTGACAGCAGCTCAAACGTCGCGCGATTCTCCACGGGAAGCTTCTCTATCACAGGCAGGGTCACGCCGTACGTGCGCTGGGCGAGGAGCCGGGCGAGGTGGGCCGTTGTGAGGTTGCGGAGGCCGAGAATGTCAAACTTGAGCAGACCCAGCCGTTCTACGTCGTCCATGGCGTATTGGCTGACCAGGGCGGACGGGTTGCCTGGTGCGTGCTGCACTGGCACCACCTGGTACGGGTGGTTGGGTGGGGGTTTCAGGTTTTCTTAAGTTCATGGCATGGGATGGTGCGTTGTGCCCTCAGGAAGAAGGAAGGGATAGAGGGATGCATGGGAGGGGATGGCACGGAAAAATGGAGAAGGGGGAGGGAAGGAAAAGTACAGAGTGTAGAGAGCGGAACAGTGCGTGAGGAGGAGCGTGGAGAAAGGGAACGGCACTGAGCATTGTGCTGCAGACCTGGGAGAGAGGGAAGCAGGCGGGCGAGATGATGATGCCGGCTGCATGCACGCCAAAGGAGCGGTTGGTGCCCTCCAACAGCTGCCCCAGCTCCACACATTGCAGCAGCTGTGCACGCACGGAGGAGACATGAGAGAGGAAGACGAGAAATTTGCAGAGCATGACCATCGTTCCCTCTACAAACACATTGCAGGAGCATAGAATGGTTGCAGTGTACTGAACCTAACATCAAGCAAAGCAGATAAACAAGCCCACCCATTTAACCGTCCATCCCCATCCACATGCCGCACTCGCTGTTCACTTACCGCACTACAGCACCGGAATACACCGCACTACAGCACCGGAATACACCGCACTACAGCACCAGAATGCACCGCACTACAGCACCAGAATGCACCGCACTACAGCACCGGAATGCACCGCACTACGATGCACCGCACTACAGCACCGGAATACACCGCACTACAGCACCAGAATGCACCGCACTACAGCACCAGAATGCACCGCACTACAGCACCGGAATGCACCGAACTACGATGCACCGCACTACAGCACCGGAATACACCGCACTACAGCACCGGAATGCACCGCACTACAGCACCGGAATGCACCGCACTACAGCACCGGAATGCACTGCACTACAGCACCGGAATGCACCGCACTACAGCACCGGAATGCACTGCACCACAGCACCGGAATGCACCGCACTACAGCACCGGAATGCACCGCACTACAGCACCGGAATGCACCGCACCACAGCACCGGAATGCACCGCACTACAGCACCGCAATGCACCGCACTACAGCACCGGAATACACCGCACTCACCATTGCATCCCTCTCCACGCGTCTCCTGAAGGGAGTGTCCTCCGCCATGAGGGTTTTCAGCGACACTGCCTTGCCCCTCTCCACCGGCACCTGCAGCCACACATGCAAAGCGCATTGGAGGGCATTGGAGGGCATTGGAGGGATGGCACATGGGAAAGGCACACGCGTCTCCTGAAGGGCGTGTCCTCCGCCATGAAGGTTTTCAGCGACACTGCCTTGCCCCTCTCCACTGGCACCTGCACTCAATGGACGGGCGAAGCAAGCAACAGGTAGCAGGTGGGAGAGGCATGCGGAGTTGAGTCCGTCCTGAGGCGCTCAGTGAGACTGACTTGCCTCTCTCCACTGGCACCTGCACTCTGTTACCTCCTTTACCATTACGCACCCCATTACCATTACGCACCCCATTACCATTACGCACCACATTACCATTATGCACCCCATTACCATTACGCACCCCATTACCATTACGCACCCCATTACCATTACGCACCCCATTACCATTACGCACCTCATTACCATTACTCACCCCCGTTACCATTACGCACCCCATTACCATTACGCACCCCATTACCATTACGCACCCCCGTTACCATTACGCACCCCATTACCATTACGCACCCCCGTTACCATTACGCACCCCCGTTACCATTACGCACCCCAGTTACCATAACGCACCCCCGCACTCCCGTTACCATTACGCACCCCCGTTACCATTACGCACCCCCGTTACCATTACGCACCCCCGTTACCATTACGCACCCCTGTTACCATTACGCACCCCATTACCATTACGCACCCCCCTTACCATTACGCACCCCCGTTACCTTTACGCACCCCATTACCAATACGCACCCCATTACCATTACGCAACCCATTACCATTACACACCCCATTAACATTACGCACCCAATTACCATTACGCGCCCCATTACCATTACACACCCCATTACCATTACTCAACCCCGCTACCATTACGCACCCCATTACCATTACGCACCCCATTACCATTACGCACCCCATTACCATTACCCACCCCCGTTACCATTACGCACCCCCATTACCATTACGCACCCCTGTTACCATTACGCACCCCATTTCCATTACGCACCCCATTTCCAATACGCACCCCATTACCATTACGCACCCCCGTTACCATTACGCAACCCATTACCATTACGCACCCACATTACCATTACTCACCCCCGTTACCATTACGCAGCGCATTACCATTACGCACCCCTTTACCATTTCGCACCCCATTACCATTACGCACCCACATTACCATTACGCACCCCGTTACCATTACGCGCCCCATTACCATTACGCACCCCATTACCATTTCGCACCCCATTACCATTACGCACCCCTGTTACCATAACGCACCCCATTACCATTACACACCCCATTACTATTACGCTCCCCATTACCATTACGCACCCCCGTTAACATTACGCACCCCCGTTACCATTTCGCACCCCATTACCATTACGCACCCCATTACCATTACGCACCCCATTACCATTACGCACCCGATTACCATTACGCACCCCATTACCATTACGCACCCCCGTTACCATTACGCACCCCCGTTACCATTACGCACCCCATCACCATTACGCACCCCCGTTACCATTACGCACCCCGTTACCATTACGAACCCCCTTACCATTACGCACCCCATTACCATTACGCACCCCATTACCATTACGCACTCCATTACCATTGCGCACCCCATCACCATAGCGCACCCCATTACCATTACGCACCCCCGTTACAGTTACGCACCCCGTTACCATTACGCACCCCATTACCATTACGCACCCCCGTTACCATTACGCACCCCATTACCATTACGCACCCCATTACCATTACGCACCCCATTAACATTACGCACCCCCTTAACATTACGCACCCCCGTTACCATTACGCACCCACATTACCATTACGCACCCACGTTACCATTACGCACCCCCGTTACCATTACGCACCCCTGTTACCATTACGCACCCCCGTTACCATTACGCACCCCCGTTACCATTACGCACCCCCGTTACCATTACGCACCCCCTTACCATTACGCACCCCATTACCATTACACACCCCATTACCATTACGCATCCCATTACCATTACGCACCCCCGTTACCATTACGCACCCCCATTACCATTACGCACCCCATTACCATTACGCACCCCATTACCATTACGCACCCCCGTTACCATTACGCACCCCATTACCAATACGCACCCCCGTTACCATTACGCACCCCCGTTACCATTACGCACCCCATAACCATTACGCACCCCCGTTACCATTACGCACCCCGTTACCATTACGAACCCCCTTACCATTACGCACCCCATTACCATTACGCACCCCATTACCATTGCGCACCCCATCACCATTGCGCACCCCATTACCATTACGCACCCCCGTTACAGTTACGCACCCCGTTACCATTACGCACCCCATTACCATTACGCACCCCCGTTACCATTACGCACCCCATTACCATTACGCACCCACGTCACCATTACGCACCCCATTACCATTACGCACCCCATTAACATTACGCACCCCATTAACATTACGCACCCCCTTAACATTACGCACCCCCGTTACCCTTACGCACCCACATTACCATTACGCACCCACGTTACCATTACGCACCCCCGTTACCATTACGCACCCCCGTTACCATTACGCACCCCCGTTACCATTACGCACCCCTGTTACCATTACGCACCCCCGTTACCATTACGCACCCCATTACCATTACGCAACCCATTACCATTACGCACCCCCGTTACCATTACGCACCCCATTACCATTGCGCACCCCCGTTACCATTACGCACCCCTGTTACCATTACGCACCCCCGTTTACCAATATGCACCCCATTACCATTACGCAACCCATTACCATTACGCACCCCATTACCATTACGCACCCAATTACCATTACGCACCCCATTACCATTACGCACCCCATTACCATTACTCAACCCCGCTACCATTACGCACCCCATTACCATTACGCACCCCATTACCATTACGCACCCCATTACCATTACCCACCCCCATTACCATTACGCACCCCCATTACCATTACGCACCCCTGTTACCATTACGCACCCCATTTCCATTACGCACCCCATTTCCAATACGCACCCCATTACCATTACGCACCCCCGTTACCATTAAGCACCCCATTACCATTTCTCACCCCCGTTACCATTACGCACCGCATTACCATTACGCACCCCTTTACCATTATGCAACCCATTACCATTACGCACCCACATTACCATTACGCACCCACATTACCATTACGCACCCCGTTACCATTACGCGCCCCATTACCATTACGTACCCCATTAGCATTACGCGCCGCATTACCATTACGCACCCCATTACCATTACGCACCCCATTACCATTACACACCCCATTACAATTACGCATCCCATTACCATTACGCACCCCCGTTACCATTACGCACCCCATTACCATTACGCACCCCATTACCATTACGCACCCCATTACCATTACGCACCCCCGTTACCATTACGCACCCCATTACCATTACGCACTTCCATTACCATTACGCACCCCCGTTACCATTACGCACCCCATTACCATTGCGCACCCCCGTTACCATTACGCACCCCATTACCATTACGCACCCCATTACCATTACGCACCCCATTACCATTACGCACCCCATTACCATTACGCACACCATTACCATTATGCACCCCATTACCATTACGCACCCCATTACCATTACGCACCCCATTACCATTACGCACCCCATCACCATTACTCATCCCCGTTACCATTACGCACCCCATTACCATTACGCACCCCATTACCATTACGCACCCCCGTTACCATTACGCACCCCATTACCATTACGCACCCCCGTTACCATTACGCACCCCCGTTACCATTACGCACCCCAGTTACCATAACGCACCCCCGCACTCCCGTTACCATTACGCACCCCCGTTACCATTACGCACCCCCGTTACCATTACGCACCCCCGTTACCATTACGCACCCCCGTTACCATTACGCACCCCATTACCATTACGCACCCCCTTTACCATTACGCACCCCCGTTACCTTTACGCACCTCATTACCAATACGCACCCCATTACCATTACGCAACCCATTACCATTACGCACCCCATTACCATTACGCACCCAATTACCATTACGCACCCCATTACCACTACGCACCCCATTACCATTACTCAACCCCGCTACCATTACGCACCCCATTACCATTACGCACCCCATTACCATTACGCACCCCATTACCATTACCCACCCCCATTACCATTACGCACCCCCATTATCATTACGCACCCCTGTTACCATTACGCACCCCATTTCCATTACGAACCCCATTTCCAATACGCACCCCATTACCATTACGCACCCCCGTTACCATTAAGCACCCCATTACCATTACTCACCCCCGTTACCATTACGCACCGCATTACCATTACGCACCCCTTTACCATTACGCAACCCATTACCATTACGCACCCACATTACCATTACGCACCCCGTTACCACTACGCGCCCCATTACCATTACGCACCCCATTACCATTTCGCACCCCATTACCATTACGCACCCCTGTTACCATTACGCACCCCATTACCATTACGCTCCCCATTACCATTACGCACCCCCGTTAACATTACGCACCCCCGTTACCATTTCGCACCCCATTACCATTTCGCACCCCATTACCATTACGCACCCCATTACAATTACGCACCCCATTACCATTACGCACCCGATTACCATTACGCACCCCATTACCATTACACACCCTCATTACCATTACGCACCCCCGTTGCCATTACGCACCCCGTTACCATTACGCACCCCGTTACCATTACGCACCCCGTTACCATTACGCACCCCATTACCATTACGCACCCCATTACCATTACGCACCCCATTACCATTACGCACCCCATTACCATTACACACCCCATTACCATTACGCATCCCATTACCATTAGGCACCCCCGTTACCATTACGCACCCCCATTACCATTACGCACCCCCCGTTACCGTTACGCACCCCTATTACCATTACGCACCCCCCGTTACC